CTGAAGACGAAAGGATAAAGGGATAAAATTTGACATTGTGTTGTCTGGTGTGAATTTGGCGACCTCCTTCTCTGACAACTCTTCCTCCTATTTATAGGCTTGAGGTGATAACCGTCGTAGAAAACTGTCTGGAGAGTAACTTGCAAAAGAACCGCTTCCCTTCTTTCCCGGACGTGGCTGACGTGTCCTTGAACGTGGAGTAATTGACAGTTTCTCAATCAAACCGTCGGCTCTCCCTTTTGGAACTGACGTCTTGTTACTTGCCTTTCCTTTACCATGGCTATTCCAGATCTCGCGACGAGGCGGTTTGTCAAACATGATGACAATGCTACGAGGTGGTATACCAAACTTGGCGCGAGAAGGCTTGTCGCGACGAGCCGGTCTACCAAACTCTACGCGAGGAGGCTTGTCGCGACGAGCCGGTCTACCAAACTCTACGCGAGGAGGCTTGGCGCTTAGACTTAGTAGAGGCTTGGCGGACTTGCGACGAGGTGGCCTGACGCGAGGAGGCTTGGCGCTTGAACTTAGTTTATTTTGTGACCTTCTCCCCACATATCTTGTAGACTCGCGATGTGGTTTAGACAAGGCGGTTTGTCACGACAAGGCGGTCTACCAACTTGACGCGAGGAGGCTTGTCGCGATGAGGCACCAGACTTAGTTTATTCTCACGCGTCATGTCAGGCCTAATCATTTGGGTTTAAAAATCTAGTATCGTAGGCCCAGTTTAAATAACATTAATTGTTATTGTTGATCTGGCCTTATAAAGACAGTTAATGTCTCGTAAATAATCAATGTGGTACAAGATTATTTTTGTAGTGTAAACAACGCCATACAAATAAAGAGTTGGAAATGTTTGAAACCCAAAAAGAGGGTCTCCACTAAATTCTCATTCAACCAAACCTCACACTACAAAAAAATGGGTCTATGGCAAGGGTTTTTTCTACCTATAGCAAGGGTTTTAACCCCTGCTACAAGTTGTAGCAAGGGTTTCGCCAACCCCTGCATGAACCCTCGCCTATGCTGCCCCTGCTACGTGTAGCAAGGGTTTTTAACAACCCACGGTGAAAGTCCCGTCCAAGGGTTATAGCAAGGGTTTAAAACCCCTGCTACATGTATCAAGAGTTTAAACCCCTGCTACAATTCAATATAAAATTCAATAGTAAGATGTTTGTATCAGGGGTTAAGCCCCCTGCTAAGTTCGTTGCTCTAACTAGCAAGGGTTAAAACCCTTGCTTAATTTGTCTCTAAATCAATTGCAACTAACTCAGAATCGTCACTAAAGAGAGGCTGATAAAATTTTTGAACAAACTCAAAACTGTCGCTAAAAACCCATGAAAATTGGTGGCTATAACTTGGTTGCAAATACTCTTCTCACTATAGATAAATCCATAACCAAGCTTTTTCTTGCAAAATTTTCTACAAATCATTATTGGGTAGCCAAATCATACAGTACACTATATCCATGATTCAATACATCATATGATAGAATGATGTCTATGTTATGGGGCTCTCTTTCGGTAACTCTCTTGCCTTCAATCCATCATGAGCTGTAGCAATTGCTCGAACAGAAATCTAAATAGGCCTGCACGTTAAGATTGGAGTAGGTAAACTAAGCTGGAAGTCTTACAAGCTTCGGATTAATAGGCATGAAATATTAATGAGAATGAGAGCACAGAATCAGGTAAATAACAAACCATCATTTTCAGAACATAGTCATATGAGTGTCTTTGCTTCCCCTGCTGTATATCAAAAGAAGAGAACCATGGAGTCAAACCTCAAAATGATTGTACTTAGAAGATTGTGCTCGATCATTGTAGTTATAAGGTAAATAACAAACCTTATATTAGTGTATAGTTTGCTTGCACTTAGAAGATTGTGCTCGATCATTGCACGATCAAGGACCGCGCAGTTGTCCAGCAACAGTGCTTTCTGTTGAAGTACAACCAATAATAAATAAGCACATTGCTAATGAATGCAAGACCTGCCAAGTTGAAAAGTTCATCATCACTAACCTGATGTGGCTTCAGTTATTCAAAAAATGCATTGATTTCGGGTTTCCTCCGGATCCTTGATACCTGTATATCAATGACCAGAAAGGATTTGCGTATAATACCTGTATATCAATGACCAGAACAAAATGAAGCTTCTTCCCAGCTGCTGTATGTAATGGTAAAGGTATCGTCAGTGGTGGCATGCCTATGTTTTAGTTGGTTTATTCTGCTGCTTGACTGATGAAGGTTAAAAAATGTTCAAACATACGGAAGAGTAAACTCTGAACATATGAATTATCAACCATGAATGGTTCCTACCATGTGGAACTCAACATATGTTGGAATGCTAATAACTAAAACAAAATTAAGTTACCTATCACTGATGATTCTCAATTCACATCTGGGGAACAAACCACATTGCACCAAAAATAAAACAATCAAATTCTCCACCCACATCGCTAAAGGGGTCTGGTTTTGGCAAGGAGGTGAAGAGTACCACCCAAGGGCATGAGCTGATTTTATAGATTCAATGATCTTTGGTTGCAATGGAGTCTGAGTAAAGCACTGTGCAATGTCCTTATCTGTTTTCCCTAGCGAATTGACCTCCATCATCATCCTATCCTATAGCAAATAACTGAATAGTTCAGGATAAGGAAATGGCTAACAGTAGCAGTATAAAATGACTAATCTATCAAGTAGCAGACGAAGCAGGGAGATGAGTAAAGATACCGGCAAAGTAAAAGGATCATGAAAAGAAATGTCCAGTAATTTTGGAGTCAATCAGACAATATGCATTTTGTACTCTACAAAAGGAGTTACCATTTCCTGCTGATCTTGCATCTCATCCGCTACCTTCTTTCCTGTACACACAACAAATTTAACCATCACCAACCACCAACAACATAAATCCCACCGAATCCTCTGCTTTAGTAGATACATAAAAAAAACTATAAAATACAACTTACACTTAAGCAAGCAAAAACCAGAACATAATGTAAAACCCTAGAATGTATAAGGGATCAAGTAGATAGCAAGGATAAGCATTAACTGAGACGAGTAGTGAGTGAATTTTTATTTGATTCGGGCTTGGAAGGGGAGGAGACGAAGAAGCAGAGCATCGTCCCTTTGTTGGTTGTCGTCGACGTCGAGCACCAGAGTCAAAAAGACATCGGAGAGCCGATCCATGTTACTTCGTCTTCTGCTGCTTCGAATTTCTAGCTTCTGCTCTCACATGGAATGAATGTTCTATCTACCACAACAAGAAGCAAGAAGTACTGATTCCGATCAAAATATGAGAGAGAGAGAGAGAGAGAGAGAGAGAGAGAGAGAGAGAGTGAATAACCTAATTGAGAGAATTAAAATTGATGTCAATCGGAGATTGCAATCTCTATCAAATTTCACGAACAGCTACCAGAGAGTTCATTAACCGCCTGTCGAATCAGCTTCGTCGGAGAAGCTATCGGCAATGCTCGTATGGTGGAGTTCGTTAACCGCCCGTCGAATCAGCTTCGTCGGAGACGCTATCGGCAAAGCTCGCGTGGTGGAATTCGTTAACCGCCGTCGAATTAGCTTCGTCGGAGACGCTATCGGCAAAGCTCGAATGCTGACTAGAACTTTTGTGCTATGGACGAAGAAGCATTAGAAGATGGAAGCGGGAAGTGGCACTGGACTAGGGATTTGTTTCTTTACATTTGGGATTGGAATTTTTTTTGCCCCGTGAAAAGATAGAAACAGTAAAACTAGATGAAATGGTTGGTTAATTACTGAATCCCTAGCAAGGGTTTCTCAACCCCTGATATATACCGCATCTACGCGAGTTTCAGGAAACACTAACAAGGGTTTCATGAACCCCTGCTACCAAACCCTTGCCATAGACTCATTTTCTTGTAGTGTCAACTGGCCCCAATCATGTATGTAGTTAGTTTGATATGTGCATACATATAGCCCACCCACGGTTACGCTGAAACATTATGACAAGAAGACAACTGGCAGTCAGGGAAAAAGAAAGACGAAAGGAAATGATAGAAGAAGTTGGCCATCAAGATGAACGTGGGTCTCCTCGCAATATATGAACAATCCTCCTCAACTTTCATCACTGGTGTTTGAGAAGCACAACGCCACAAGCTCCTCTTGACCTATCAAAAGAGCATCGATTTCACTGATGCCTCTACCGTATCGCCGTCATCAGCAAGCAAAAATTCTTCTGCCTCCAGATCATCCCACAAAGAGGAGTGTGATGTAGAGAAGAGCTATGCAAGCAAATTACTACCCAACTGCGGCTGGTGGGGGTGATCTTATTAAAAATGCATTGATGATTGGTTCCCTTGCTGCTTCGAGTATGATCTCTATGGTATCGCTACAAAATTTGTGGCATGGGATATTGCCAACAACTCAACATGACTACAACATAGGTTGTTGAAAACAGCTTTCAACGTATGTCAATGTGGGCAGCGGTTTGTTATCAAATAATTATATGACTCCTCAGTTCCCTTCTAGCTAGCTCTTAGCTTTGTTTAGCCCCTGCTCCGCGGCGGAATGACTATTTGAACAATTTCACTGTATTTTACTTAAGTGTTCACATAAAAATATTAACCTTATACCACATTGGTTAAATACAAGAGATTACATGGTTTTATAAGATTAACTTTATTACAACAATTAAAGGAATTAGGATGTGACACACTACAAAAAAAAAGGACTTATGCCGAGGGTTTTGTAGCAAGGGTTCCAGAACCCTTGCAAATTTTTCCGGAATTTTTTGTAGCAACGCTTCTTTTCAAGGGTTCGTAAACCCTTGCTACTCTTAAACTAGATTTCACCGAAAACCCCTGATTCCCCTTTCACATTTTTTGGTAGCAACCTTATTCTCAAGGGTCCAGAACCCTTGCTACAACTTAAAACAAAAGGAACGGGTAATGGACTAATGGGGCGTCCTAACAGAAAGCCCAAAAAATTAATAATATTTATTTATATAATTTGTTTATCAATTCCAAATATATAACACGACACATTTATCCAAAGGTAAAGGGTGATTTTGAGTTTCGACTGAAGGGTGATTCGCGACTGAAGGCATCTCCGACTGAAGGGGCGAGTCGCGATCTCCGTCGCCGCTCACTCCGGCCGTCGCTTCTCCGATCTCCATCGCTCACTCCAGCCGTCGCTTCTCGATCTCCCTCGCTCACTCCGAACGTCGCTTCTCCGATCTCCCTCGCTCGATTAGGTTGACAGGCGATTGTCGGATATTGCTCGCTCGCTCTTGTTGAAAGGTTATTCTTCCTTGTCTCCCTGGCGCTCTTTGCTTTCCTCGCTTGCCTCTCTCGCGCGAGCGAGCTCATTTGCAGCCTCTTAGGGTTTGTAGTTCTTAGCTCATTTGCAGCCTCTTAGGGTTTGGATGCCGATTTAACTGCTTTACCATTCCCGGAGCTGATTTAACTCATGTCTACTCTAATAATCTCTCCTTAATTGCTTAATGACATTTACATGTATGCATGGAAAATGGTCCAACATACAACATAGTTCTTGATCTTCCCTCTGTTGTCTTTGAAACAGAGGTGAGAATAGACTTAATGATTACATTAGGAGGAAATGATTCGAATTTGGTCGTTCCTTTTGGATTTTGGTGGGAATTGGTGTCCTGTGATGATTTTTTTGTGCTACTTGTGAGTGATTTTTTGGTTCTTCCTCGGGTTGGAACGGTAATAGATCCCGGCGTCTGATATGCAATATCAACTTGTATTCTATTCCCCGGAACTCTTCTGAATGAGTTTCTTGTGAATTCCAAGCAAAATTCCGTTTCAGTTAGCGGTGACAGTGAATCATCAGTTCAATAGTGGCTGCTTCCTGATGTAGTTAGTGCTGCCAAGGATAGGCTGCCGAAATCTAGCTTAATTAGGTTGCAAAATGATTTGTCTGTCTCAGGTTGTGATAATTGCGGTGGCAATTATTTTGCTCTCTTCCCACTAATGTGATTACTGAAGGACACGAAATGTGCAGTTTAAGTAGATGTGACGAGCACTCGTATGATTTTAGTTGTTGAATGGATATTGTATTGCTCTGAGTCACAGTTAGGTTTGCCGCTGCAAGCTATAGTGAATGATTTTCTGCACAAGTTATGTCCAATTGCAAGCTATAGTGACTGCAAAATGCTCTAAATCAATTATCAGTACAAGCAGCTACTGTTGTCTGTTGCTTTTTGTAATAGATGTGATCGTAATTTACTGAATCCTGCATAATTCAAACCCACTCTGCGAAATGCTGTCTAAACTTTATACCAAGTCCTAAACTTGAGTTCCTCTATTTGCTTGACGTTTACCTGTTGCTGAAATAACTATGTGACACTTAACCTCACGTAACCTGGGTTGTGGTACTGTTATTGCCACGTAACGCTTAATATATAACTTTATAAGCTTGCTCTGTGACCTGGAGTACTGTTTCTTCTGTCTTTTGCAGCCTCTTTATGCCTTTCCTCTTACTGTTGTTGTTTTCATGACTGCAGATGGTTTCAAGTTCAAGGAATCTAAGAAATTTGAGAATCGTTACTGAATCTGATTCTCAAGAGGGTTTTCAGCATGGACACCCATCGTCTCAGCATGAGGAAGGGTCTCAACATGAGGAAGGGTCTGCTAGCATAGGTACTATATGGAATATCAAAACTTACCCCTTCCTTTCATCCTTGCTTGCCCTCCTCTGCCAATTAACTTGAAGACATAGTAGAACCCTATAGCTACCTAACTGACTTTAACCCTATATGGTTATGGGTTTGGTGAGAGTTTGGCAGATTTATTGATTTTTTCCTTTTTTTTTTTTTTTTTTGAGAAAGTCAGTGAAGGAATGGAAGAAAAAAAAAGAGAAAGAAAGAAAGTTGTCAAAGAAGTGGGTTGTTGTTGTTGTTGTTATTCAATGGCAGCATCAACTTGAAGACATATAACTTTATAAGCTTGCTCTGTGATCTGAAGTACTGTTTCTAAGAAGTGGGTTGTTGTTGTTGTTGTTTGTCATTTGGTGTCAGGTGAAAATGGCAGAAATCAGAAAACACGAGGAAAGACGAGAGTTTAAACCATTTCACCGGCAACTACTGAAAATCACCAAGGTCATTTTTACCTACCATTTGCCTATCTCTACTAATCTTTTTAGTTCTTACCTACCATTTGCCTTATCTTTTTCCCATCTTTTTTCACATGCGTGCATTATTGAGTGGCCATATCAGACTATCAGTCATCATGATTTGGTTGGTAGACAAATAATGAATTTCATAAATTGGGATTTTAAAGGAAGAAAAACAAAAAGAGAGAGTAGATAATGGTAAATTACTTAATTAATTAACAGTTAGTTATTGTGTAATAACAAGACAATATCATGTTTAGAAGAACATAGAATTAGGGAAGAAGAAAGGGTATTACCTGCTTGAACTGTTTCTTTAAGCTTCACTTTGACCTCTTTCTGGCCTTACTAGTGGCTAAACACAGCCAAATTAATCTCTCTAAACTTGGGGTTTGTGGCAGACAATGCGTGTGAGTGTTTAGGAGAGGAATAGGCAGAAAATTAATTGCAATAATTGGCCCACTGTCCTCTTCTAATATATCACTGTTTTTTGGTTTATTGGTTTTATACTTATAATTGGCCCTTAACACTTACTCATAATTGTCCTATGTGCCTATATTTTAATCTTTTTCCATACAACTCCCAAATTTCTAACATTTCTTGCTGAATGCTGCCAGAGTCAAAATTCCTTAAGTCGGTTCAGTGTTTCTCTTGCAGCTGAATGCCATAGGCACACTTAGAAATGCAGTTGTAGTTATAAGTAGTATTTTCTAATGATTTGATGATGGAAGCTTGTGTGTTTATGACTAGCAATGGTGGCTTTGACTGAATCTATGTGCTGGAAAGTTGTTGCCAAGTTTGTGTGTTTATGACTAGCAAATTCTGGGTTTTCTTTATGATTTTTTATTTTATTTTATGAGCAGGGTGCCACTAGTGCTCCGACTCCATCAATGGGATCTCGAGCTTCGTGATCAAATGTCGTATGAAGCATTTTGGAAATGGTCGATGGTAAAGAACACCATGTAAAGAACACCATTTTGGATTATGAATCATATTATGTTATGATTCATGGTTATATGGTATGACTTTGGTCATGTAAAGAACACCATTTTGGGTTCTTTTGAGTATGTTTGAATGTTCATGGTGATTAGTATTTAGTCATGTAAAGAACACCATTTTGGATTATGAATCATATTATGTTATGATTAATGGGTATATGATATGATTTTTAGTAACAAACTTGGTTCTGGATTTGTTTTAATGACCAGGGTTTGCAACCAAGCTTTTGCCACGAATCTTGTTGCCTCTCTTTAGTGATGACTTTTAGCGACCATTTTGATTTCGACACAAATGTTTTTCTAGCTTTAGTCACAAACTGTGCAAGGGTTTTAACCCTTGCAAGTAGCATATCTTCAGCAATTTTACATAAAGTTACAAAGGCCTGTAGCAAGGGTCGAAACCCTTGCTAGATGTTGGAACGAATAATGCAAGGGTTATAATCGATGGTACGAGCGACTTACGCTTGAATTTTCACATACGTGTAGCAAGGGTTTAAACCCTTGCTACAACCGCTGCAGGGGACTTGCACCAAGGGTGGCTTATAACCCTTGCTACACGTAGCAGGGGCGGCTTTGCCAAGGGTCCGTCCAAGGGTTGGTTAAACCCTTGCTACATCCTGTAGCAGGGGTTAAAACCCTTGCTACGAAGGAAAATAACCCTTGCCATAGACCCTTTTTTTTGTAGTGACATATGGATTAGGATTTTAAACACATAGCACCCATGCCATCAAACATGGGCCACCTTGGAATGGATGGCTAAGTCTGGAGCACCCTTCCAGGTGTGATTAGGGGATAATCAGCTTACCCCCTAGTGCAATAAAGTGGGAGAAAATGGATCGAGTCTCGAATACCCACCTTGGTGTGACAATGTGAGGATGATGGTGATGGATTATGGCATGTATAACATGCAATAACCCCCCTTGATGATGAGATGAGGGGAGTTCTCCATGTATTAAATACTAAAAACACTCAAGTAGTTTTGTACACCACATGAGACAAAGTAGAGTTTTCATGCCTTAACCATTTTTTGCTCCGTCGACTAGAGAAAAGGAGAAGCTACTAAACTACCAAGCGGATGGGATCAAGATCGAAGAGGGTGACACATCCAAGGTTAGGGCATCTATTCAATCAAGTAATTGCCACTCAATGTCATCAAAGAAGTTTTTGAAAACAGTTACTTCTTGTGACTATAAATAGGAGGTGAATATGACAGAGCAAGGGTTCGCCAAAATCACACCAGACAACCTAATGCCAAATTTTATCCTTTTATATTTTCCTCTACAAAGTTAGTCATAGTTGTAGTTTTTGAGCTCTCACTAAACTTCCATACGAGTAGGTTTATTTAATATAGATCTTCCTTGTGAGTTATAAAAAATATCGAACACCCTTATTTGAACTTTGTTCAAAGAGGTGTGAACCATGTTTAGCACGTAATCGTTTAGTAAGCGGTCAAATGTGAAATTCAATTATGTTTAACAAAAAAATTCTCGTTGAAAAACAAATTGGCACACCTAGTGGGACACCTGTGTTCGATTTGACGTTGATGCTTGATATCTTAAAGATCACCAATGTGATGGACCATCATTATGGCTCAATAAGAACACACTTAATGATGTGTTATCCTTATTTCCCTGCTCGTTACTAGATAGTTGATGGCATGAAGTAAAGACGCACATTAGCTAACTATTGTTCCTTTAGCATGTGGCGAAACCTTGATTTGGAATGCATTTGCGGAAGGGATAGAATGACATAATAGTTTTGTTGCTTGGAGGCATTTTAACAATGAGAAAGCAAGAATGCTCATCTTGATTAAATTTCCTGAACAATAACCTTTATTACTTGTTTACTTTGTTGAATATTTAAATTACTCTTACTTTTCTTAGTAGTTTTATTCAAATCATCTTAGGGAACCTCAACCCATTGGATTTACTTTTATGTTGTTACATTTTGTTTTTCATAAAACATCTAGTTTCAAGTAACTACCAACAAAAGACCTCGTAAAATACGGCTCTTGTTCATCTAGGATTTTATTACTTGCTTTGCACTATACTAGAGCTATAAGGTTTGCTGCTAATGGGACACTACTATTTGCTTTTGGAAAACATGACCCAAATATTATAGACTCATTCTTGATGGAATTATTGGCATTACGAGAGCATGAACCTTATCGAGTGGCTCTTAGTCTTACCAAACCGTTCGGGTACGACTTCCCCAATCCAACCTACAAAGCTTGAACTTCCTCGAGTGGCGACCCATCACAACGTGGTGCGTGTTCCCCCAGGGTTTCCACAATTCTACCCAAGTCCTATCCTCGAAACACGTATGGTTGAAAACGACCAAACAATGATTGCTTAGTTTGAAAGTGATAAAACCTTGATGGCTAAGTTCAAAAGCGATTATGTACCATTGTTTTCCTCTAAAGCGATAAAACCTTGCATCGCTTGTAACTAAAGCAAGCAACCTAGATCGTTATGATAAAAAGAGATCAACCTTCATATCACTTAAGATCAAGCAACCAAACCCAAACATGTGTAGATTTGGTCTTTAAAATTAATGGATTTTGGGGATTTTTTTAAAAACTATGTACTTTGGAGGGGAAAAGGGGACTGAGAGTAAAGTGGACTGCCAGAGTTTAATTCAAGCCCATGTGATTGCGGCATAGGGCTAGGATCTAACTTCAATTATCCATCCATAGACCATTTGATTTCAGCAAAGGCCCATAATCAACAACGTGCCCACATTCCACAACTCATCCATCACAAAAAGGGCACAAAAAAAAAATTATGTTTGGCCCATCAGATAACCCCATCAATATGCGGGGAGGCAAATCAAGTCAAGCCGAGTTTTGATATAACTTGATCTCGACTAATTAATATATGGCTCTCGTCGTGGTAACATAATTTTTTATTTGAGTTTGACTCGAGCTTCACTCGTGCTTGGCTCATCATTAGATCCCAAGGTCAGCTCGAACTCAAGTATAATATCATTTAGTTCATAATTTTGAATTTTGAATATCAGATAACCCCAGCAATATGCAGGGAGGCAAATCAACCGAGTCAAGCCGAGTGTTGATATAACTTGATCTCGACTCATTAAAAATGGCTCTTGTCTTGTTTACGGAATTTTTTGTTTGAGTTTGACTCGAGGTTTACTCGTGCTCGGCTCATCATTAGATCGTAAGATCAGCTCGAACTCAAGTATAATATCATTTAGTTCATAATTTAGAATTTTTTATACCATCTTATTTAATAGTAATTAGCATATGGACTATTTATGATATATAATTGATCTTTTGAATGATAAATGAGAAATATTTGATCACATACTCACATTATTAAACATCATACGTGATGAGTTACATAAGCTAACATACAATATGACCTATCGACAAGAGAATGATAAGCTATTCATCGA